TTGCTGCCGCAATATATAATTATAATTTCAAGAAAGTAACCGTCAACAGATTAAAGTCTTAGTTTAAATTAGGATATATTATTATATGATTTCTATTTTCTAAATTAAAAATATTCTTCACACAACGTACCTTGCTCAAGTGCCTGACAATAACTCGCAAAAATCAAAGCACCGATTGCTCTCCAGACATGTATATTACAACGCATATTATTATTTTCGTTWCTCGTACATAAACAATGATAACATGTATAATTATAAGTTACCTATTATTATGTGTGTGTTATAATATTAAATGCACTTCACTTCTACTACACTATAGTTTACTGACTTTGACTTGTACGACGAGACTAACGACCAAATGCAATAAATTGATTGCGAATAAAGAAAATGAACAGAAATCCATTCTGGTTTCCCCCCTTAAACTATTTCATACATTTATGAGAGGATATTTAATTGTGCTGAATGCCCTACCACCTGTTTACAAACAAGGATGGCAAGAGTTAAGGCCTGTTATTATGTAGGAAATGAATTATCTAATTTTTGGAAAAACCTTGAATATTAATCATCATAAAATATAACATACACAATATTATTTTCAGAAAAATTTGGTTTGAATACAAAATTATAAATAAATATACATAGGTACCTATTTAATACTCTGTAAATCTGTATGGATGTATAATGTTTGTTTTCTATAATTAATAACTAAATATAGGTATTATTATTTGTTAATATGCTAAATGAAGAAAAATATCATCTGGAATGTAAATGACGTATGCTTGTACTGATTTTTAATACCACTTTTAGACCCAAGAGGGCACAACAGGTGGTAACAGCGTATAAAGAAATATTTTATTATCTTCTTGTAAAACAAGTTAATGTACCTTAGTATAAAATATTGGCCTCAGATCACTGCAGTTGAATCAATAATTTTCACAAAAATAAACCGAATAACTTTTAAAAATACGATGTTTGTTATAAAAAATTATTTTTGACGTCGGTGTAGGTATAAAACGYAATTAAGAAATTAAAATAGTTATTAAAAAAATACCTAGCATGTCTAATGTCCATAAAACTTAAAATTGTGAAAAGCTCTATGATCACGCAAAATCAATATAGAACCTCTTTTAACAGTTTGGCTCATATATTATTAAATTTATAAATATTAAAATGTGAAATAGTATAATATTTTAATATTTATTAAAATAGTAAATAATAATGAATTGTCTGAATTATAGAATATAAAAATCCTYAACGTAACTTAATTGCATTTGCTTAGAAACATGTAGTACATAATGAACGGTAATCGGAAAATAGCCTCGTACCAACTAAGCACGTAATTTTTTTCATTATAGTGTATATTTCATAATTTTAAATTTTTAAACATTATACCTACCTATATTTCAATAAAATTAATGATTATGTAAAACTTTTTTGACAAATTAATTATTGTTAATGTCATATACTATATGTAATTKTTTTATGTATTTACCTTTTAATAAAATAAATGTATTACCTATTATAATACATTCGATGATTTCGATGCATAATAATATAATAAAATAGTTTAATAATTAATGAGAAACAATTTTTAACATTCATGTTTTAAGTTTTAACATTATAGTTGATTAATGTTAGGTGTGTATTAGTTTATTAATATGTATGGCTATGGTCGTTATGGATATGTAAAAGAAGTGTTACATAGATAAATTATATGATTAATAATATTATGACTATTGACTATATTTAATAATGTAAATTATAATAAAAAAGAATAATGTATTTAGTCGGTASGGGGTTTTYATTTCCGATGAATAATGTTAGGGCTTTTTTTCCTGAAATCCAATAAACAAACGAGAAAATTATGAGTTCGTAATCTAAAAAAGTGGGCAAATAGAGCTCTGATATATATATAGGTACATTAGGTGTCTAGAGAAGTCGTACTGTTGAATTTAAATTCAATTATTGTATGCGAAAAATGATTCTGAGATTGAYGGCCTGTCATTCTATAATATTATTAGGTATGTGATMAAATAGTAATTAATTTTACTATTAAACATTACTTTTACAAGCAGTCTATAGTATATAAGTTCAATTTATTTTTTCCGGAAAAATTATTWTTGAATATGTTATTGTGTTTTTAAAATGTTTTATTATATTTAAAAAATATATAGGACCCTCTAATATTTTTAAATTTAATCAAAATAGTTATTATTTATTAAAATATCTGATTCCATCCATATCTGAGTTTAAGATGTCTAAATAAAAAATGACTGTGTTTATTTATTTTTTTGTTTGCAATATTAACTATTTATGTTAAACTTATCTTGAAAATTGTATGTTTTGGTGGAAATTCATCTATACTATAATATATTCATATGGTGAAAATATAAATCTATATAGGTGATTATTTTTAGAGTTACYCCAAAAAACAAAATGGATTTTGTCGAAAATGGATTTTGCGTTCAAATTCTCGTTTTATTTTTTATATTTTTTATTTTTAATCTCAAAGTACCAACTAAAATCAGTTGGCTGACAGAAAAATTCTGAAGWGAAAAATAGAAGTAATTTTACTGCCTCAAAATTTAATTGCAAACACAAATAAAAATAAATAAAAAACACATCATCATTGTATAAAATCAATATACATCCGCTCAAAATCKAAAATCAATCCACAAAATTTAGGAATTTAATTATAATTAGGTATAAAAAAAAAGTATTATTGAAAGTATATTGTAAMATTGTAGCTGTATATTTCTTAAATTTCTTTTTCCTACTAAAAAAAACGATAAGATTATTTATTTATTTTATGCTAAAATAGCCACTCCAAAGTGTATGTGTTCTTTGAACAATTACGAAAGGTGAAACTTTTGGGTTGGGCTTCTTTCTACTACCTATTTCAACTTACAAACATCAATTGAATTTTACTGTCGCTTGCTTTTTTCTATTATCGGTGATCGATATCATATGAATCTATTTCAGTTATAAATTCGACTCATATTAATTATRTTATCTAGATTAAAATATACCATATATAAGTAGGTACATTTTATTTTGATATTTTTCATTATTCGTTGTGTTTCTTTTGGAGTATTTTTAACTTMTTCAGTTCTTAAATCAGTTTTTTTGTATAACGTTTTCTATAAGATAAATCGTATCTAATACCTATTTATAAATATTTGAAACATTAATATTTATTTTAACATCGATACGACAATTGGTCATACAAAATATAAATCGTTAACATGAATAGGAAGAACACAGGTCGTTGTGGCATATTATATAGATTATAAGGTTAACGACCTAACAGATCCCGGCAACATTCTATACATTTTACCATGCAAATTTTTATCAGTTGTTACATAATATATAATGTAATGAATGATGTTTAATTTTGTGAGCTTAGACAAATATGTTACGTTTATTGACTATTCAGTGATGAGTGATGAGTGATGACCATGGGTAGTAAAATGTTATATTGTCAA